TCAGTTTTTCGTTTTCCGTAATAATTCATGTCATTTTCCATAGAGTATAAAAAATGATTTTTTTTTAAATTTTTTTTTAAATAATAATAAAAATTAAAAAATTAAGTGGTTATATAAAATATGAATTCTCATTAAATTTTTAACTATGGTGTCAAGTTTGGCTTAAACAGTAAAATAAATGTGTTTTTTTTTAATGTGAAATGCTAATTTTATCTGCAAAACGAATGCAAAATGAAATGAATTTGATTATCAAATGTCCAAGAGGTTTTAGAAAAAAAGGTCAAAAAACGAAATAAATTATATCAACTGTTTACATAGAGCAAATCTTAATTAAAGATTTATGAAGAAATAGTAAAAAAAAGAAAAAAAACTAAACATCCGGTTAATATTGCCATGGAATTTGTGGTATTCTTTGTGCTGTTCTATTTTTATTAAATTTACCGATAAATGTTAGCTAAATGGTTAGAAATAAATTAGAGAAAAGTAATGAAATTATATTTTTTCCGTAGCTGAATTTACACCTTTTCTGACTCTGAAACACACACACACAGTTTACACGAAACAAAATAGAAATCATAGGAGTTTTTTTTTTTTTTTCATTAAAACAATTTACTCACAAACCGAAAAAAACAACAATTTCCATAAAAAAAGAAAAAAGCGTTAAAAACCGCCAAACACAAAAAACAATGCAGTTGACAACACTTGTTAATCAAAAGAAGAAAAAAAAAACAATACCTAATCAACGTCAATTATTACTTGACGTATCGTACGTGTAGTGTGCATTGTGTAACGTAAGGAACGAAACGTATTGATGTTGTTAGCTGTTGTAGACGCACTGTGCTTGCTCTATTTTCTCTCTCTCTCTCTGTTTTCCCTTCTATCTTACTCTTAGTATTCTCTATGTCAGTCTGTCTGTATTTGTAAATTGTTTATAAAGTGGTTTTGTTAATAACTCCTTTTTTTCTGTATTAGTGTGAATGACAATGGAATGTAAAAACAAATGCATGTTCATATCTTTGTAGCATCTATCTTGTTTTGTATATGTAAATGATATTGCTCTCTTTTTTCCTAATTACAATTCTATACCCCTGACATTTAATCCCTGACATATATATCCCACAATTCCCAATATCCCCACAATGTTAAATTGTTTTATGGGTTATTTTTTGAGTTTATTTTCTTTTTCCTTGGTATTTTATGAATGACAATTGACAATGTTAGTTTTTTTTTTTTTTTTTTTTTTTTTTTTTTTGTGAAAACCTTATTATCTACTCGGATTATTAAAATTTTTAATAAAACAAAAAATGTTTTCAGATGTTTAAAATAAAAAATGTTACAAAAATTTATTCAAACATTCAAGGAAAATAAAAATGGCTAAATGTCAAAGGTTAAATCGCTAAATTTACATTAAATCAAAGAAAATGACAATCTAAATAACTCATTTTACAAAAATCATTTTTGGTGTGAATAAGGCTTAACTGACTCTCTTTTCTTTTTTAAAAAATATATGTTTTGTTTTTATCAAAACAGTTCAGAGGTAAATCTTCACTTATTACCAATATTTTGCAAATGCATAATTTGCACTTTCAGGGAATTCTAAAAGAAAATAATATTTGTGCTATTTATAACATAAAAAAAAAACAAAATACAGAAAACAGAGAAAAAAATAACCTAGTCAAGTAAAACCTAAACTTCAATATTGCACTGAGTTGTTTACATATTGCACGATCTCTTTTTCTCTGTCAGGTGTCGATGGTAATATGCTGCGTTTTGAGTTTCGATAACAATATGTTGCGTAAATTCAAAAATAACAAGTGAAAAAGCAGTAAGTTCGGCCCGGCCGAATACTCTTTGAATATCCTCTAACATTAGGAAAGAATTTGTAAATTTTCAAAAAAATAACAAAATAATAATAGAATTCGTTATAAATTTTGTTAAAATCTTAAAAATGCCGTAAATAGGGAGTTACTGTTATTATGGGGTCTATACGAAGACGTGGACCTGCAATTTTATCATATCATTTTAACAATTCCGGTGTATAATGTCGCTAAAAATCATCAAAATACCGAATATAGGGAGGTTTCGTTATATGGAGGCTATACAAAGACGTGGACCTGCACGGTCATTTTTTGTCACAGGCTGTAGTATCCATTATGAACTACAAATACGAAATTTGAGACAATTCCGATAAATAATATCACTGATATGATGAAAATACCAAATAAAGGAAGTTACGTTATATGTGGGCTTTACGAAGACGTGGACCTGCAGAGACAATTTTCAGGTTGTAGTACTCCCCACGAATTTCAAATACGAAATTTCGAATGATTCCGGTGAATAATGTCGCTAAAATCATCAAAAAACTGAATATTGGGATGTACCGTTATATGTGGACTATACGAAGACCAGGACCTTCATAGACAATTTTCTGTCATAGTTACCCATTAGTAACTTCAAATACGAAATTCCGGTCTATAATATATCTAATAGCATAAAAATACTGAATATTGGGAGGTACCGTTATAAAGGGGCTATACGAAGACGTGGACCTGCATAAGTATTTTTTTTTTTTTTGTCATAGGATTTAGTTTATATTAAGAACTTCAAGTTCCATATTTTAAATATTTCCCGTGAAAAGTGTGACAGAAATCATCAAAGAACCGAATATCTGGAGATATGGGGACTATACCAAATCTTGGATCTTTCTATATTTCTTGGATATTTCTTACACAATGGGAACACACGTTGCGATCTTGCATCAAATTCGGGTTATAGTTGTGAATAAAACACCCCAACAAATCAATACAGTTATAATGGAGTTATACGAAAACTTGGATCTTTAGTCCTAACACACATCTGAGTAAAATTTTATCAACCTTATTCATATCGTTCGGAGGCTAGAGTGATTTCCAGACAGGCGGACGGACATATCTAAATTGTCCAGTACATTAAAATTTACCTATCAGCGCGAACTATTGAATATCAAATCACACCAGCAAGTTACAATCTTAATCGTCCTGTAATGATCATATGTTTTTTTCGCATATGGTAATTGTCACTTTGACTGAAAGTCCTCTGAGAGAGTCAAATTCTACCCTTGAAACTCGAAACTGAGCCTGAAAAGATTCCATCGCGAGAAGCAGTGAAACATGACCTTAACTGATGAAAGAATTTTAGCCGGTTTTACATCCTCAAGAAATTGAAACAGCAGTTTTTATGTTTTAATTTTGTTAAAAAATCTATGGAAAATATTTAAAACTATGCTGAAAAGAGAAACCAGAAAAGGAAAGATAATGAGGAGTTTTTATTAATATATAACTACGAATTTAAAAAAGATCTGTAAACAAGAAAAAAGAAAAACAAGTAATAAAAGGTTAAATTTATATTTTGAGGATTTACAAACGAAATGACACACTTAATACAACCTCCATACTATGGTGAAGGGTATGAAAAAATATTTGAAGCTTTTGTAATTGTTTTCGACATTTTTACAGTCTTGCTGCTCTGGAACAGACAAAATACCGTCTGAAATAATTAATAATTTAATATTCTCCTCTATACCTCAAAGATATGCATGTGTCATTCGGAATAAAGGATAAACAACGAATTAAATTTGCGACTCAAAATATTTTAGGGAATTTTTATATTTTTTAATTTAATTCCTTGAATTTGAAATTTTCAACAATAAATATTTAAATAAATAAAAGAACAAAAAATATATAATTTTAAAAGATGCTCAGAGGGTTCATAAGTTTTGAATGACACTGTATTTTACAGAAATCTCTAGAAAGTAGGTTCGCCCGAGTTTTGTAATAAATGAAACACATATACTTTCTCAAGATCAATGTAAATTAATTTTCCAAAATTTAATTTATCAATTTGAACTCCAAATTAGAACAAGCTAAGCTAATAGAAATCGATTTAAATTCTTACAACAAAATATCTACTTACTTTGGAAGAGATGAGATGACAAATAATGCGAGTATTACAATCAATAAAGCAATATTATTAGAAATACACAATTTAAAGTAATTAATAATTAAATTATGCCAAAGGAAGTAATTGATAATTTATTCGAATACAGTGGAGGACAAAATTATCCTATGTGCTTAACTTCTGCTACAAATTTGCAATGTAAACATACTATTACAGCACATTGAGATTACTGAATCCACTCGTTTTAAAATGGCAATGCCATAGCGTATACGTCACGTAAATCGTGGATATTATTTCACGTATACGCTACGGAATTGACATTTTAAAACGAGTGGATTCTGTAATCTCAATGTGCTGTAATAGTATGTTTTCACTGAGATCGGGTGGATTTCGCATGGTAGATGAATATAGGTAGACGCGTCGACACAGCTGCTGGGACAATGAACTGTCAAACCAATTTTGGAATTGAAAATGTTGAATGAAAAATTATTTAAATTTGTAAAAATTGTTGAATAACGCGAATTATAATACCTCCGAATGACGTAGTATAAGAAAACATATGAAATCTTCATAATAATGCATTTTAACAGGTTATCACCTGATCGGCTGTAATAAAAATAATAAAAAGAGAGTGTCTACTTTTCGTATCATTAAATTCCCTTATCAGGGTATTAATATTGGCCGTAAATTAAATGAATTAAACTTCCATAACCATAAGAAAACAAAAAAAAAAAAAAAAAAAAAAATAACACTGTCAATTGTCTACCCCTTCTACTTCTCTTTTCGTAATTTCTTGATTTTATTTATTTTTATTTCAATATTTTCTCAACGAAAAACCTCCAATTTTGTTTTCAATTTTTCCGTTTTTTCTAACTAATTCCCATTACTTAAAAACAAAATATCTATAAAAAGTTTACAACTAAAATTAAATCTACATTTTTTTCTTTACGAACTCTTCCAAATGAACAAAAAAAATTGTAACGAAACAAAAACAAAATAATGAAAAAAAAACAACGAATTAAATATGACCCGTTTATTGTGGAAACGTGAAATAATGACAACAGATGATCACCATCCTGCACCCACATTTACACCACCGGAACTACCGAAAAGGGTGCATGTGCGTCGATCAATATCGGGTAAAAAAACAATAAAATAAAATTTTTCTCTTGTGTTTTTTTTTTTTAATTTAAAAAGACATTGTTTTTTTAGACATTTCCAAAAAAAAGCAACAACAACAACAATGCATTTTTTTCTTAATTCTTGCATAAAATGACAGAAAAAAAATAATAAGAATTAGGTTTAAAATATTTTTATGTGAATTTTGAATTTTTTTGAAATTTCTCTCAAAACTTTTTTCGTGTTTGGTTTCAAATTTTCTTTTTAGGTTGGCTTTTTATGGATTATTTTTCTTAAAAAAAAATGTTTTAGGTTGTAGTCAAATTTAAGTTATAAGTTCCATACCAATTCCGCTTTTCATAATTTTTATTTTGAAATAAAATTTAAAAAACCAAAATCCTGTATCTAATGAAAATAAATCTATAAATACTATACTCTCTCTCTATATATATGTATTTTATAAATATATAAATACTTTCTTCCAATGTATCAGAATTTCTACATGTGTATTTTTTGGAGAGCATGATGTGAAATTTTATTTGAAAAAAAAAAATAAAAAATACATACCCATACTCTTTGAAATAAAGTTATTGTGAGCCATAAAAGAAACATAGTTAAATTAGTAAAATAAAAACAAAAAAAATATTGAAATGAAAAATTTAATAAAAAAAAATATAATAATAATAATAAATAAATATTTAAATAAATAAATAAATTAAAAAATAAGTTTCAGAAATATTATGTAATTATTATACAGGGTGAAATAAAAAAACTGCAACAAAGTCAAACGCCATAATTTTTACATTTTTTTTTTTTTTTTAATTTTATTGAATGAAAGCAAAAGCTGTCGGAAATAGCATCAAATTCTCGGAATAAGTTTAGATTTGTTCGAATTGGTCAGCTTTGGCACGAATTATGGCCTTCAAACGGCCAATTAAAGCGACACACGCTGCCCGAATGTTGCTCTGTTGCTCGGTATTTTAATTCATTCCCGGCGAAGCGCTTGCTTGAGGTCATCGACGACACTTTGGTATTTTTTATCGCTAACCTTGCTTTCCAAAATACTCCAGACACAATAGGCCAACGGATTGGTATCCGGAGATTTTCGTGGCCATTGTGCTCTGGAAATGAAACGAGGAACCTTAATTTTATAACTATTCTTGGGTGGCGCGTGCTGAGTGCGATGGTGCTGAGTCCTGTTGGAATGTCCAAGGTCTGCGGCCAAAATGTTTGCGTGACCAAGGTTTTAATACACCCTCCGGAATATTTTCGCATTAATATTCGGCATTTATTCTGATGCCACGGTCGATTAATACGAGCGGAGAGCGGCCATCGGCTGTTATGGCGGCCCACATCATCACCATGGCCAGCGCTTGAGTTCTGGTGACCAACCGAAGGTGCACATTTTCAGCTGATCTCTTTGGCAAGTAAACACGATCATTTTGTTTGTTTACAAACTGCTGGACAACGAAAGTTTCCTCCTCGGTGAAACCCAAATTCGGCAGTTCACCACTTTCGTCCTAGCTAAGTAACTCTTTAGCTCTTTTGAGTCTATTTTCTTTCTGTTGCGGTGTAAGTTCTTGCTCTTTTTGGAATTTCAACGGCTCTATCCCGAGCTCATTTGTTCAATATTTGCCGAATGGAATATTGCGATATGTTCAGCTCACGAGCCTTTTTTCGGCCACTGCGACGTGGGTTTCGATCAAGTCGCTTCTTTACTTTTCGAAGCATTTCTGCTGAAGTTGCGGTGTAAGTTCTTGCACTTTTTGGAATTTCAAGGGCTTTACCCGGAGCTAATTTTTTTAATATTTGCCGAATGGAATATTGCGATATGTTCAGCTCAGGAGCCTTTTTTCGGCACTGCGACGTGGGTTTCGATCAAGTCGCTTCTTTATTTTCGAACAATTTCTGCTGATGTTGCTGTTTTCTTCTTTCCACTTCCTTACGAGACACAAAAGATTTATTCACATTTAAATGCTGGAGTGCCCTAACGATAGCCACCTGTAGTTTCCCAGCCAAATATAAAGAAATCACACTATCACGCCTGAATTCCACCTCGAATAAATTTTTTTTCTGGAAAATTCTCACCAAAATGCTTTTGTGCGCTTGTAAAAAATATAATGAGCTGTCACTGGAATAATTTTAATAGCTGGCTTAGAAATGACAGCAGTCTGAAGTTGGTTGCAGTTTTTTCACCTCACCCTGTACAGTATTACATAATTATTTTATAATATTGTATAACATTCCTAATTCTCTAAAGAATTTTTTTTCTCACTTTTCTGGCTTGCAAAAATACCCAATAATGTGTTCATATGTTTTTTTAGTTAATTCCATTTTCCACTCCCAATGTTTTATACAATATTTTGCTAATTCTATGTAAAGAGTTGTTATTTACAAATACGAATCAAATTTAAAAAAAAATACCCCCAGCAAAAAAAAAACGAACGAAATTAAAATCAGTTTTTATGTATTTTGAAAATTATTTGCATTTATATGGCTTGTGTTTTACGTTACTTTCAAAATTATGGTTATTATTAATTTAATTAATATTATTATTTGTATTTTTCCTTTAGTTGTTACAAAATTCAAAGCTATCCTCTTATATTCTAATTCTAACCCGAAAAAAATATTAACAGTCCTATTTAAGAACGAAAAAGAAAATGAAAGAAAAAACTCTAATTCTAACACTTGACTCAACTAATAGTTATTCTCCAATTTATAGTAGTGGTGGTGATGGTTGTGCTCTCTGAACTCTCATACTCTGCTACTGTCAGTCAAAGCTAATTACCTGCCAACCATCCCTGCTATTTCCTATAAACTCTTAACTCTGAGAATCCAACGCCTCTAACACAAGACAAGAAAATGTTTAAAAAAAATAAACTACCTTTCAACAGCTTATCCTATATTCCTTTGTCTTAAACATTAGTTTATTAATATTATTCTTAAAATTCGAATATTTTTTGGCTATTTTTTATTAACAAATTCTCTTTTGTACAAAAATGTCTTTCTCTCTCTCTCTCGCTCAACTATTTGGCGTAAAGGTGATATAACAAGAGATCGTGAAGATATGAATCGTAAGTATAAATTCAAAATTTTATATACCTTGTGAGAGCAGTTTGATGTTGGTCATGAGAAAGGAGAGAGTGAATTCACCATTCCAAAATAAAAAGAGAAACGAAATTCAAAAAAACAAGAAAAAACAAAATGCCGCAAGGAAATTTTTCGAATTCATAAAAGGCTTTTATAGATAAACTTGTTCAGCAAATTATGCAAAAATGCTTTGGTAAGCTGTTTTATCAGGTTGCGATACATTAATACTTTTGAAGACGTTCAAATTATGTTGACATCATTGCCAGGCATCCATGCTCAGGCCACTTAAAAACGTTGTAATCAGAGAGTAACAAAATTGGGAGAACATAAATGTGCGACTCTCTGCCTAGGTCTTGGAAAAGACTTGGAGAATTATAGAATTTTTTAAAAAAGGTACCAGGCCTTGGAGAATTCTAATTTTTTTTTAAAAAAATCAGGAATTGGAGAATTCTAGTTTTTTTTTTAAAAAAAAATCAGGACTTGGAGAATTCTAGAATTTTTTTTTAAATTCAGGCCTTGGTGAATTTAAATACACGGCTTTGGGTCTTGGAGAAATCTAGAAAAAAAATCTTAAAACATCAACGTCTTTGGCCCTTGGATGAGTTTAAAAATAGTTTATAAAAATCCAGGCCATGGAGAAATCCAAAATTTCAAAAAAAAATCCTTGGAGAAGTTTAGAAATTTTCATTAAAAAAATCCAGGCTTTGGAGAAGTCTGGATTTTTTTAAGGCCTTTGTGAAGTCTTGAATTTTTTTTAAACCAAGCCTTGAAAAGTTTTAGAATTTTTTTTTAAATCCAGTCCTTGGAGACGTCTAGAATTTAAAAAATAGGCCTTGGAGAAGTCTGTAATGTTTTTTAAAGGCCTTGGAGAAGTCTGGAATGTTTATTTAAAGTCCATGGAGAAGTGAAGATTTGTTTTTTAATCCTGGCCTTGGAGAATTGTAGAAATTGTTTTAACAAATCCAGGCTTGGATAGGTTACAATTTTTTTTTACAAATCCAGGCCTTAGATAGCTTAATTTTTTTCCAGGGCATGGAGAATCCTGGATTTTTTAAAGAAATCCAGGCCTTGGATAGGTCTAGATTTTTTTTAAGAAATCCAGGCATTGGAGAAGTCTAGAATGTTTTTTTAAGAAATCCAGGCTTTGGAGAAGTCTAGAATGTTTTTTTAAGAAATCCAGGCATTGGAGAACTCTAGAATGTTTTTTAAGAAATCCTGGCCTTGGAGAAGCCTAGAATTTTCTAGAATGTCTTGCCTTGGTGAAATCTTGAAAAAAATCTTTAAAAAAATCGACGCCTTGGTGAAGTCTAGAAAAAAATCTTTAAAAAAATCGACGCCTTCGTGAAGTCTAGAAAAAAATCTTTAAAAAATCCACGCCTTGGTGAAATCTTGAAAAAAACGACGCCTTGGTGAAATCTTGAAAAAATACGACGCCTTGGTGAAATCTTGAAAAAAATCGACGCCTTGGTGAAGTCTAGAAAAAAATCTTTAAAAAAATCCATGCCTTGGTGAAGTTTGTAAAAAAAAATCTTTAAAAATCCACGCCTTGGTGAAGTTTGGAAAAAAAAATCTTTAAAAAAAATCCACGCCTTGGTGAAGTTTGGAAAAAAAATCTTTAAAAAAATCCATGCCTTGGTGAAGTTTGTAAAAAAAAATCTTTAAAAATCCACGCCTTGGTGAAGTTTGGAAAAAAAATCTTTAAAAAAAAATCCACGCCTTGGTGAAGTTTGGAAAAAAAATCTTTAAAAAATCCACGCCTTGGTGAAGTTTAGAAAAAAAATCCACGCCTTGGTGAAGTTTAGAAAAAAAATCCACACCTTGCTGAAGTTTAGAAAGAAAATCTTTAAAAAATCCACGCCTTGGTGGAGTCTAGAAAAATTCTTTAAAAAATCCACGTCTAAAAATCTTTTTTAAAAATCCACGTTTGGACAAAAAATTCTTTAAAAATCCACGTGTGGGCAAAAAATTCTTTAAAAAATCCACGTCTGGACAAACAAAATTCTTTAAAAAAAAACAAGTTTAGACAAAAAATTCTTTAAAAAATCCATGTCTGGACAAAAAAATCTTTAAAAACTCCTCGTCTGGAATAAAATTCTTTAAAAATCCAGATATAAAAAAAAAACTTGAAAAAATTAATATTGTACAGTTTTAACCCTAACAAAACTGCCGACATATACTTTATTGCAAATCCAATATCATTTAAATGTTTTCGATTTTTTTCACTAACGCTTTAACAACTTGATGTACTATTTTTATAATTAAAATATTTTTAACAATATTTGTGTGCTATAATCAATTGGCAATTTAAAAAGTGCTTTAATATTCGCCGCTATATTAATTATAACATCTGGTGGTGGTGTGGAGAATTTATTTGGGGTATATTCGACTATTGATTCTCATAGGTCCCGAGAGCACGGGATGGGTCAAGGTAGCTCATCAGTAAAAATATAATAAAACATGACCGAATTATAGTCAAATTAAAAGATTTCAAATAAATATTAAAAAAAATAAGGCCAAAATTAATGGCGTTTCAAATTTGGGAATTGCTTTTAAAAATCATATCCAGAAATAAATTATGACAATAGATTCCAGCTGTTCTCTTTTCTAGATTTATATATAGCTTAAATTGTTTTACATACCCGGTAACGACCTAAATTCCCTTTCTTTTGCTGAAGTATACTCGCGGGGTCTAGGATCCGCCCCAGAAATGTATAAAGTGACCGAGAGAGTCAAAACACAAGTTGTTTGTGTTTAAAGCAAATAATTTTAGTTTATTTCAAATTGATTGGGGTTTCCTCAAATTAAACAGCTCTTTGAAGAATATGTGTAGAGTTAGAATATGCATTCGTCTCAACCCAGCGAGCATCAAACTGCTTTCTCCATATGTATCTGAAGAATTAACTTTTCTTGAATCTAATAATAAATTCTTCCTCTTTTCCTTAGTTTTAAATCGTCACAATCGACGGCCGAACGGTTCAACCAGCCTGGCACCCGGCAACGGCACAACGGGCCTGCATCCATCGGGGACGGTGAAACAAGTGAATAAAGTTAAACCAACTGTAAATAGACAACAATTAGAGGGTCAGGTTATGTCACCCTCACAATATAATCGGTGAGTATGGGAAGAAACCCAAAAAGAACCAATCAAGGTCATCACTTTTATGATTATTCAAAATATGTACACTGGTGGCCAAAACTAAAGCAACTGCAATTACAAGGAGAATGAATGCCCTGTAACTTTTTCAAATATTAAGAAAATGATAAAGTTTTTCTTGTTATAAATTAGGTACTTTATTCACTTTTTAAAAACCTAAAACATAAAACCAAAATTCATTTTTATATAAAAAATAATGTTTGGTAAAGTCAATTAACCCGATTTTGGCTTGGACAAAACAAAAGCAACTCTGTTGTACATTCATATAACCGCTGCAATTTCAGTTGTTTTTACTGTTATATTTATCGCTTTTTGCTTCCTTCTATAATTTCGCTTGTCATAAATCCTTTTTGAGAAGTTTTTTACAACAGTATGTGGTTTTCTTTTCGTTTTTTAAGTACTGCCCAAAAAAAATTTAAAAGTGGCTAAAAGCAAATACAGTACCTGAATAAAACAGCAAATTATCAGTGACTATCAAAACAACATATTACAGAAAATGATTTCCGAGAAATATTTCATAAATATTTATGTGATTTCATAATTATTTCTGTATACAAAGTCGGTTTTTTGAAACTGGATCAGTAGTAACAGTCTATAACGGATGAAGGCCGTGAAAAACTTCAGCCCGTACTGATCCACAAATTGTGAGACAAATAAAAAACAACTATTTAAGAGTTCAACTGGATTGGTGAGAGAGCAATCATTGGATATAAGCTCCAGATCAGTGCGTAGACGAGTAGTGGCAGCTGGTCTGCATGCCCGTAAGACATCAAAAAACCATTTATATCTGAAAAAATCAAAAAGGCTTTCGGAAACGATAATATTAAGTGGAATCAAGCTCAATGGAAAAACCATTATTTCTGGGATGAGTCTACGTTTAATATTAAAGGCTCAGAGGTGAAAAATTTTACGGTGAGAAGACCAAAAAATGAAGGACTCAAGCCGCAGTGTTGCAAAGGTACAGTAAAGCATGAGGGAGGGTCAAAAATGGCGTGGCGCTGTTTTTCTTTCTATGGACTTGGTCCTATCCATAAAATAAAGGAAGTTGTGGATCCGTTTGTTTACAAAGATGTGTTGGACATCACGTTGTTCCCTTACGCTGAGTAAAATATTCGGCTGATTTGGGTGTTTCAGCATGACAATGATCCCAAACTTGTATCAAAACTTGTCAAATATTGATTGCGGGAATCAAAAATTCATGTTTTGTTATGGCCGGCACAATTACCTGACCTAAACTCCTTAGAAAACCTTTGGAGTATCGTAGATAGGAAGATCAAGAGAGATTCGGAAATAAATAAGCACAACATTTTCTAAAGAATTCGGGGTGCCTGGGAAAGCACACCCAAGGATCAAATTGAGCGTGTTATAGGTTCAATGCCTCGTAGGTGTGCAGCTGCTATCGAAAATAATGGTTATGCTATCGACTACTAGCCAAAATTTAATTATTTTAAAATAAAAAATCAAAAGTTGCTTTAGTTTTGACCAAGCAAAAATTGGGTCATTTTAGTTTTCCACATATTATTTTTCGTTCAAAATTATTTTTGTATTTTTATTTTTAGTTTCTTAAAAGTGAATTAAACCCCTCATTTAAAAGTGAAAAAATAATTACGATTTGTTTATTTTTGTAAAAGTTACAGGACATTTATTGTCTTTGCGATTTAAGTTGCTTTAGTTTTGGCCACCAGTGTATGTCTGTTATTTCCTGTTCTTTAACAAAAAATGTCTAGAGAAACACTCTGTTTTTAATTAAAAAAAAATACATATAAAGGTCAAATAACAAAAACACAAAGCAAGAAATTAAATCAAAAATAATTTGCCAATGTAAAATAAACCAAAAAACGAAATAATAGCACCAAAAAATGTATAAAAAAACCAAAAGAAAAAAAACCAACCAAAAAACAAAAACGCTTAAATGTTATTTTCCTTTTTTTCTCTCTATTATTTGTTATTCTCTATATGAACAATGTGATTTGTTAGTCAGTCCTCTGTTCAAACAAAAACCAACCAACCAACCAACAAAAAAACGTAACAAATTTACAAAAAAAAAAAAAATAATAAGTAAATAAAAAAGTCCAATTAAATTGGTGGCAATCCTTTCATCACCACTGTACACGTCTCACATTCTTATAAATAATGTCATCAGTCTCTCTCTCTCTCTAACAACAAAACAAACCAATGAAAAAAAATACAAAGCAAAACTAATACTCAACCAAAAAGAACACAAACAAGCCCAATTTAGAAAGAGCGAATGTTTTTTTCTCGATTGACTTCTAATAGAGAATTGTTTTTTTCTTACACCCCCCACCCCCAACCCTTTACAACTTAAATTTCCACCCACTGAGATGAGAAATTTAAATTTATTTTTTATTGTAAAATACTTTTTAGTTATCGATTTTATTTGTATCGTTATTTTGTTTTTATAATTATGTTTTTGTAACATTTTATCATTGAATGGAACCATATGAAAGAACGGATATATGTCAAAGCTCAATAAGCATTGCAGAAAGTAATGCCATGTTTATGTTAGAATGTTTTAATGTTTTATGTTTTGTAGGGATAACCAACTTTAAAATGAGTTATTTGAAGTATAGATAATAGATATGACAATTATAATCCAAATCCGGATTATTTATAAAATGAAAATTGTTTATATATGTTTTAAGTAACCTGACCTTGTATTCTTTATACGGCCATAATACATGACTGGCTCAAGGGATTAGCCCTGATAATTGATCGCTCGAAAATAAATGTAATGTTTGTTTCACGTAGTCATTTCGGTGTGATTGGTCAATTATCACGACCAATCACACTGAAATGACAACATGAAACAAGCAATCAATTATTATTTTCGAGCAATCAATTATCAGGGCTAATCCCTTGAGCCAGTTAAGTATTATGGCCGTATAAAGAATACAAGGTCAGGTTACTTAAAAATAAAAGACCCAGAATATATTTAGAAGAATAAACGGTGAAGTGTTGTGAAATATACATTTATCCATGGTACAATAAAAAGGTATAGCAGAGCTACCAGCTGGTTACATTTTTATATCATCCACCTTGAAACGGAGGGTATATTAACTTTGCCAATCCATTTGTAGTATCCCTAAATATTCGTCGTAGACCCCATAAAGTATATACAGGGTGAGATAAAAAAAAACTGCAAGAAAGCCAAACATCATAATTTTAAATTTTATTGAATGAAAGCAAAAAATGTCGGAAACAGTATCAACGTTTAGAATAAATTTAGATTTGTGAGAATTGGTCACCTTTGGCACGAATTATGGCCTTCAAACGGCCAATGAAACCGTCACACGCTGCCCGAATGTTGCTCTACGGTATTTTGGCCCATTCCCGGCGAATGGCTTGCTTGAGGTGATCGACACATTGGTATTTTTAATGCCAACCTTGCTTTCCAAAATACTCCAGACACAATAGTCCAACGAATTGGTAACCGGAGATTTTGGTGGCCATTGTGCGCTGGAAATTAAGCGATGCCGATGTTGCTGTTTTCTTCCGTCACTTCCTTGACGTCGGGCTACGCTACCGAGCGATGGTTCGAGACACAAATGATTTATTCACATGTAAATGCTGGAGTGCTCTAACGATAGCCACTTTTGGTTTTCCAGCCAAAAATCACACTATCACGCTTGAATTCCGTCACGAATAACTTTTTTCTGGAAGATTCTCACCAAAATGCTTTTGCACGCTTGTAAACAATATAATAAGCTGTCACTGAAATAATTTTAAACAGCTGTCGGACGAGTGACTTTGAGATGACAGCAGTCTGAAGTTGGTTGCAGTTTTTTCATCTCACCCTGTAGGACGAACGACTCGTGGAAAATTGGGAACTATGATGTCGGGTTGTTCTCGATTGGTATGCAGATGGTTGGTATGGAGTATAATAAGCCTACGATTCGTAGGTAACCGTCGTGGGTCAACGTCATAAATTGAAATGTGAGCAAGACCAGGACTTACGATGTTTGTGTTCGGGTGACACTGCCATTTGGTATGGGTGACGATTTGAAGGTAATCGGGAACTTGTGGATGGTCGCCAAATGTTGATTGGTGCGGGAGATCAGGAATTGGGGTGCTTATGTTCGGGATGTTGAAAATATGAAGGTGATACTTATGGTAGTTTGGTTAATTTTAACCAGGAATTAAGATGTTTATTTTCGCTGACGTCGGCGTCTGCGATATTGACGGTACGGGAACTTCATTGGTTGGAATATTAATGTCAAGATCTTCGAAGATGGGTTAATAATAGTTAGAGCCTGGCAGTTCACTATAAGGATACTCGGGAGAACATGTCCAATTCGTCTTAGGTTGTTCGGGTTCCGTAGCTCACAGGTGGTGTGTTCGAGGTAATTGGGAATTTCATTGTTTGGGATATTGATGTCAAGATCTTCGAACACGGGTTGGGAACTCGTGGTATAAACGTTAGGGGACAGCAGTTCACTGTAAGGATACCCGGGAGAACATGTCTAATTCGTCTTAGGTCGTTCGGGTTCCGAAGCTCACCGGTGGTTTATTCGGAAACTGCTGTCCAGATCTTCTAAAATGGATCGGAGTTCATTCCATTTCGACAACTCGCTATGGGTATGTTCGGCAGTCGATATCTAGGCCTTCACAGATTGATAAGAACTTGTTCGGGTTTGGCAGTTCAATGTGGGTATTTTCGGTTTCAGCTCCTACGGAAGAGCGAGTTCAAGCTCGTGTGGTACAGCGAACCGAAGCTCCTACGGAACAGCAATCCGTAGCTTTTGCGGACCGGAGAACCAATACTCCCGCGGATCAGCGAGCCGCAACTCTCGCAGAACAGCGAGCCGAAGCTCTCGTGGAACAACAAACTCCTGCGGAAACCGGCAACTCAATTTAATGAGAGCCAGTTACAAAAGTATTTCCCGTTGATCCCATTAGTCGGAAGAAGAGAAAATTATTCAGAAACTCACAAACTACTCTTGGGCAAATCCCTTGTAGTAGCACGCCCGTCTCTTCGTTATCCAAACCAAACACTATGTGACCGCCATTACCAAGTGAATGAGAATTATTTGCCTTATACGGTAAACGACATATTGCTGAAAACAGGATAGTCCATTAGGCGTCGCTTGAAGAATGGGTGCGGTTGTACGTTCTGACTTATGTATGCGTCACACTTTGTATCTTAAATAACTAGTGACCTTATAGACTCGGTTCATTTTAAAGATTTAAATAGCTAAGTTACAAAATGATCAAACCTTGAAAGCGTTCATATTAGCCTAGATAAGTGTTTAAAGAAAAAAAAATATCCTGCGCCTCTAATTCTGTGGATTCGATGGGATTGTAAATGGCTCACCATAGAACATCTTTCATCATAAACATCCAACCGAGGGATTCGAATTATTCTAACATACATATGGCATTTACTGAAGTTCCACTCAAGATTGGCGCCCAACGTGTCAAACGAGAAAAAAAAAGAAAGAATCGTTATAGGGCTTGAATAATTATACCAAAGGTAAAAAAAATGTGTGCCTCCGTCGTTTTTATTCGAATTGGAATTTTCGAATAAAAATTGAATTACAAACAGAATTATACAATTAAAATGTTTCGAATTACATCGAATTCTGACACTTTATTAAAAATGCGCTCCAACATTAAAAAAGTGGCATAACATCTTTTTATGGCAATTACATCTTTATAGAGATATAATTTTGGTAAATTTTCAAATTTGAGTTCTATGATTTTTTATCTTACTACTCTATATTTTTTTTAAAGAATTGAATTTTTCAATACGACAAATATTTGCCTACGTCAAAAATTATCTCCATTATTCATATGGTTCCATTCATCTGTGATATATGCATTTTTTACATCTTGTTCATACAATTCTTTAAATTCATACAAAACGAAATTAATAAAAACAAATAACTAGTTATTACTAAATTACAAACAATAATCAATGACAATAATAATAAAAAAATAACCAGAACAACTACAAAATTTTTTCTAAACAAAATTGAAAAATCCAAACAAAACATTGCAGGAAATGCTTAAAAAACGTTCTTTTTTCTTTTTTTTTTAATTTTTAACGGTTTTGTTACAGGCCTCCCGAAAACGAAGCTAATCCTTATGCGGGCTATCAACTTGCTTACGAAGTTAAAAAGCTCATGTATGCGTCCATTACTAATTACTACTACTACTACTAATTTTCCTCAATAACTACTACTACTACTACTACTTATTCTAATCATACATTACTATCGTATCGTACTACTACTACTACTATTTTTGTTGATTTTTGTGACTCGTTCTAAAATTAAACAACAAAATACTAACAACAATTTTTAAACAAACAACATAAAAAACAGAGTTGCCATATAAATATTTTGTTTTTAATTATTTTTTCTTCTAAATTGTAATCTAAAGTTAAACGTAAACATAACGTAATACTCGTAACGTACAGAACGTGTCGTAACTTAACACAACAGCGTTTGTTCGCCTCCAATACATTTCTGTTTTAATTTTTTTTTTATAATTTTTACATTATTTTGTGAATGTTTTCTTAATTTTTTTCTCTGATATAATTTTGCGCCTTGTCTTGTCTTAAATTCCAAAAGAAAAGCCAAAAAATACAACTCTGTTTATATGTCTGTTTTTTAAATGCCATTATTTATATCTGTGTGTGTCTCTGTGTCAATGTCTGTGCATTTGTATATTAATTTTCATTACAACATTGTGTATAATTGTAATGTTTCGAAATAAATCAAACACGCACACTGTGTTCCCTACATACCAATAGTCGTTAACACACAAAAACAACCAACCAACAACAACAACAACAATTTTGTACTCTACTTCTAGTTTGGTGTCATTTTGGTTTTTGCACTACTTTTTATTCCTATTCGTTACTTTTCCTACTATCTTCTCTCTATCTCTCTCTCTAACTATCTATCCGTCTGTCTTCTGTGTCATAAATTGTTTTGAATTAGTTTAACTTCTCTATCAACATATCTATCTATAAGCTGTCATTTTTTAAGAAGCTATACGAAATTATAAATGTCATCATAAATTTCATTGCTCATTTTGTGTGTTTGTTTTTTTAAATAAATCATTCTTTATCAATGATCGAAAGTATTATTTGTTGTTCAAGTGATCAATCGCCATATCTCCATATTTCATAAAAATAATTCATGTTTTCATATTTCGTATTCATAATTTGGAGGATAAGAAGAATATTACATTCGAACATTTATATTTTAATATTTTATTGAAAATATCAAACATTTAAGGTGATAACAATTTTTGATAAAAAAAAAATATTAAAAAAACTTGTTTCAGAAATTTTCAATCATTTTCTACTGTTTTATACCAATTTGAATACGATAGCAATTTGAATACCATAATTTTTTAAAATTTTTACATTTTTATAAAATTTAAATCGAGTTCGGACATGGGCAATATCGGTCCACTCTATCTGATTCCTCCCCCAAATTTGAATGCGATACCAATTTGAATACCATAATTTTTCAAAATTTTTAAATTTTTATCAAACTTAGATCGAGTTCGGAGATGGGCAATATCGGTCCACTCTATCTGGTTCCTCCCCCACAATATGTTGAAATTTTAATATAAAACATCTTGCTTTTTTGGAAAGCGAAAGATCATCCGATTTTGTTCTAACTTTTCAAATTCTAATATATTTTCAACAGTTCTAGATCAGGTGTGAAAATGAACAATATCGGACCACTCCCCCCACAAAGGGTCAACATTTCGAATAACTATAACTCCTAAGAGTCCGATTGTCTCCCAATTACACAGATTCTAAAATTTATACCAGCACAAGGTCTGGTGCTAAGATGAACTATATCGGTCCACTCCTTCTGTTACATCCCCCTACAGCGGGTCAAAATTTGGAATAGTCAGGAAGCTCATAAAACGCGAAATAAGCAACTTCTTTCTTTTAATCTCAGCATATTCAAATATTTTTATCATTCCAAGACGGACACGGACCACTTCTTGCAGCACCTCCCCCATAACGGGTCAAAATTTGGAATAACCATTAAGCTCATAAAACGCGAATTGAGCATCGGATTACTTTCAAACTCGGCACTTCGTAATATTTCTAATAACACAAGATTTCGACCAATATCCCATTTTCACAAAATGGTACCTTCTGGTACCTCCCCCACAATGGGGTCAAAATTTAGCATAACAAAACGCTCATAAAATGCGAATTAAGGAATAGTACATGATCTGGTGTGAAGATGTTTGATATCGGTTCACTCCATCTAGTACCTCTCCCACAAAGGGTAACCACTCATAAAGTGACTTCTTTCACTTCGATATAGTCCAAATTTGATACGTTTTAATATTTATATCAGACTTAGGTCATATACAAAATGGACCTTCAGAGCCTCTCCTATGAAGTGTCAGCAGTTTCAATAAAATAATCATCCTCTTCAATTTTTGTGAACAAAAATCGTTTAAATTTGGCCCGATAACATAATGGCGACTCTTTGCTCATTTCCGAAGGAAAAAGGCCGTAATATGGCTAGGGCTAAAAATCCGTACCAAAGAGTTACCCGGTTTGGATTCATAAGTTTTTCAATGAATGTGTGCGAATTCCCTACCATTCATGAAATAAGCACTAGTTGAAAAAATAACATTAAAATGCGGACCCTATATAATATTTACCCCAAAGAGTACACTCTCAGCATATTCTTTGGTCTTTAAAAGTTTAAAATACCAAAAAAGAAAAAATCTAAAATCACCAACAATTTTTAGTCGTATTATTTGGGTACCTTAGATTTATTAAGTTTACCACCGGATTTAATCGATGGCATTAAAAGTTCGGCCCCCGATTTTACCCCTACAATGAACTGTTACTCTATTACGATCTGTTTGCCTCCTACTCTTTCTTTTCAAACGAAAATACTCTCGATAGCTCTCCCATAAAATAATAGATTGGAGATCAAACTTCACTAAAAAACGTACTCTTCGTCCGTATTTTTCCCTCACGAATACAATCTGGTGTTTTGGATTAAAGTTTTTTTTATTTAAAAATGCTTATTTTTGCGGGAAAATACCAAGATAGATATACTTTTGTCTAAGCCTCATATTGCGAAATGTTAATATCCCATCTGTTCCATTGCCTGTTGTATGACATTTTGTGTTAAAAACAATATTGTTTTCGTTCCGAACGTTTTTGGGTATTATGGACCCAAGCTCTATTTTCTGCTTTGTTTGGATAGAACACAAACAAACCACAAGGTGGTCAGGGTATTATGTCTTTGTGCATTTCTTTGTAACAGGCAAAAGGAAACGAGATAGACCCATAGTTCCTTTTGATGATCTGCATAGAATCACATTCTGGGTCGATTTATGCATGTCCGTCCGTCTGTACGTCTGTCCATGTATTTTTGTAAACAAAGTACAGTTCGCATTTATTACCCTATCCAGATGAAATTTTGCACAAATCATTTGTTTGGCCCAAGGACGAACCCTATTGATAATCGGTCAAAATTCAGATATAGCTCCCATATAAATCTTCGTCCGATTTGCCTTTAATAAAAATTTTATCGAGATCGGTTCAGATTTGGATATAACTCCCATATATAACTTCTTCCAATTTACCTTTGATTGTGCACCAAACGTCTAATACTTGGCCAAATTACGAACGAATTGAGTCTAGACGCTAGTATGTCAAATTTGATGAAGATCGGTTCAGATATTGCTATAGCTCCCATATATATTGTTCATCCGATTTGTCATATTTGTTACCCACAGCCGTAATATGCACTCCGTAACAACGATATTCAGCGAAATATATCAAATACAGCTGAGAAATATCTTTGCCAAATTTTATAGAGATCGGTTCCGATTTGGATATAGCTCCCATATATATTTTTATCCGATTTCAAATTAATTGTGCACCAAATGGGCAATGCAAGTCCGAATTTAAAATATACTAATGCTTCGGCATATTTAGTCCTTTGAACTTTAAATTATAACTATAATCATAGCGTGTATGATTGAAGTCCCCCATAAAAACTTAAAATTGTTATGAGGAGCTCTACTAAATTACCAAACTTGTGTAGGATATCATAAAGTCGGCCCCGCCCAATTTTAAGACTTTCTTTACTGGTTTCATTAAATATTCATTAAGCTAAAGTGAAATTATTTTAATCGATATTATACGTCACACTATTGAATAATTTTCTCTTTTATTGAATTTTTTTTCATTTTCTCTTCTCCACTTCCAAAAACGTATTTGGAACGGTTTCTTCTTCCCTTTTCTCTTCATAACCTAGTATTTTGGGAGAGCGCTGGTATAAAGAGAAAATTACGACATAATTTCATAGAAGAGCAAAATAATAAAAAAGAGACATGCTTAAGAGAATTTTGAAATAATTTTCCCTGCGTTGAATTTTAACTTAAATAAATCAAAATAAATATAATCAAAATAAGCCAAAAAATTATTTTATAAAAACAATTTGTAGAAAAGTATTCGTATATGTGTGTTTGTGTCATGAGTAAAACATGATAGAGAATAAGAGACAGCAACGCTAGAATGCGTACTTTTAGATCTATGCATAATTTATAGTCCTTGACCTTCTAAACAAAACCAAGGGAAATATTCAAAATGCATAGATTAATTGCATTTAGTTTTCCTCAGATTCCACGTAATCTGAATTTTCGTTAACAATTCAATTTATTAAATTAAAAACTGAACTTGTTTTCCGAAATATTCGAAAACTAAATTGGGTAAGATATTTAATTTCCCTAGGCAATTTTCAATAAATTTCAGGTGCCAAAAACACAAGTATTTAAGATGTCATGTTTACCCTCTGAAATGTATTTCAAATAATAGGAAAATTTGTAAAATTGCTTAACCATTTTAGAAATTATATTAAAATAATTTGGCTTTTTTCAAGAGATATACATTGGTATAATCAATATTTCAGTAAAGGTATCAACAAATCATTGAATTTCATTCTCAGCATAAAAGATTTTCAATCATTTGACATAAAATACATACTCGCATACATAGCCTTAGTTTTGAACATTTTTTCACATCAACTCGACTCTTTGGCTAAAAAATTATTACTTGTCTGAAAACAAAGCATTTTTTTGGGCGACGGACCAATAACTTAAATGTAGTCTAATATTTTAACCATTTTTTTGAAAACTTTTATTAATACTAACACAAACGTTAGCGCATTTCTCATTCATCATCGTTGTTTCTCGTTCATGTTTTGTTTTGGCTACCAAAAGTTCAATGAAACGAACGAAAGAAAGAACATAACCATGCCATTCTTTTTTGCATTTTGATGTTTTAGCATTCATTTTTGGATTAACAATATTTAGCTAAATTAACTAACGAATTACAACATCTGTTCTATTCATCATTTGTACAATTTCGCTGTGTCTGTCTCTGTATAACTTTGGTTTTTTTTTTGAAGAGAAAAAGCAGAATGCTAGCGCTTTAATATTTTAAACAATTTTGAAATAATTTGTTTTTCTCCTTTTTCTCATTTATTTTGAATGGCATCGATGCAGGCCAACAAGCCGTAGCACCGGCACCGGCTCACAAAATCCTAATGGCAGCGTCTCATTGCCGGCTGGCATTGCCGATGATCAATCGAAAGACTTTGATTTCGAGAAAACCGAAATGAAATATGATTCTACGGGTATGTTCCATTGGAGTCCCGCCAAGAGTCTAGAAGACTGTATACTGGTAATGTATTACAATGTAATGGGTTGCGGAGTGTTATGTAATAATGATTCTTGTTGTCCCAAATAAATTTTATGCAGGATCGTAATCAAGCGGCCATGACTGTCCTCAATGGTCACGTGGTTGTCTGCCTTTTCGCCGATCCAGACTCACCTCTAATTGGTTTACGTAATTTAGTCATGCCTCTGCGTGCTTCAAATTTTCACTATCACGAATTGAAGCATGTGGTCATTGTGGGATCAGTTGATTACATAAGGCGGGAATGGAAGATGTTACAAAATCTGCCGAAAATCTCGGTGCTAAATGGTTCTCCGTTAAGTAGAGCCGATTTAAGGGCCGTCAATGTTAATTTGTGCGACATGTGTTGCATATTATCGGCTAAAGTTCCTAGCAATGATGATCCTACATTGGCCGACAAAGAGGCTATTTTGGCATCATTGAATATTAAAGCCATGACTTTCGACGATACCATTGGAGTGTTGAGTCAACGGGGTCCAGAATTCGACAATCTATCGGCGGCGGCGGGCAGTCCCATTGTACTGCAGCGTCGCGGTTCCGTCTATGGCGCCAATGTGCCGATGATAACAGGTAAACTGCATTGCACTAACTTGGCTATGTTTGCCAGCCAGCGACCAAAGCTTACAACAACAAAAATAAAAAAATACCGAATTGACTGTTGGTGTTATTTTCCCTCTGAATTGAAGGTTTTTTTTCAATATTTTTTTAAGAATTTAATTTTTAAAATATTTTTTATTTTTAAGAATTTTGGAAATGGAATTATTGTCATTTTCAAATTTATTTGTAAAGATTTGAATTTCGGAATTTACTTTCTTAAGAATTTTGAAAATCTAAATTTTGCTACTTTCAAAATGTATTTGTAAAAAATTGAATTTCGCAATGTATACCCCTCTGAGGTGGACTCTTTTTTTTATATTTTTTTAAAGAATTTATTTTTTTATATTTTTTTAGTTTTTATATATATTTTTTAGTTTTTTTTACTTAGTTTTAAGAATTTTGAAAAAATTCAAAATGGACATTTTGCTATTTTCAAATTTATTTGTAAAGATTTGAATTTCCAAGACGGACTCTTTTTTCAATATTTTTAAAGATTTTTTTTAGTTTTCAAATATTTATTATTATTTTAAAATTTTGGAATTTCAAAATGGAAATTTAGCTATTTTCAAATTTATTTTCGCAATTTTTATCCCTTTGACATGGAGTCTTTTTTTCAATATTTTTAAAGACTTTATTTAGTTTTTTTTTTTTTTTTTTGGTTTTTTAAATATTTAATACTTTTAAGAATTTTGGAAATTGAAAATGGACGTTTAAGCCATTTTCAAATTAATTTGTAATGATTTGAATTAAAAATATATATCCCCCTGAGATGTACTGTTTTTTCAAAATTTTTTAAAATTTTTTTTTTTGTGTTGTTAAATCTATTATTTTGTAGAATTTTGGAAACTGAAAATGGAATTTTTGCTATTTTCAAATGTATTTGTAAAGATTTGAATTTCGAAATATATATACCCCTGAGATGGACTCTTTTTTCCAATATTTTTAATTCTTTTTTAGTTTTCAAATATTAAAAATTATTAAAGATTTGAATTTCGCAAAAAATATCCCTCCAAAATGGACGTTATTTTTTCAATATTTTTAAAGAATTGTTTTGTTTTTAGTTTTTAAACATTTTTTTAATTTTAAAAATATTGAAAATTCAAAATGGAAATTTTGTTATTCTTAAATTTGTTTGTAAAGATTTCAATTTCGCAAAAAATATTCCTCCGAGATTGACGTTTGTTTTTAATTTTTTTTTTAAGAATTTAATTTTTTCAAATTTTCAAATATTTATTATTTTCAAGAATTTTGGAAATTAAAAATGGAAATTTTGTTATTTTTAAATTTATTTGTAAAGATTTGAATTTCGCAAAATATATCCCTCCGGGATGGACTTTTTTTTTTGAATATTTTTTAAAGAATTTGATTTTTAAATATTTTTTTAATTTTAAGAATATTGAAAATTAAAAATAAAGATTTAGCTATTTCAAAATTTATTTGTAAATATTATTTGTAAAATAAACATTTAGCTGTTTTCAAAATTTATTTGTTATTTCGTAATATATGCCCATCGGAGATAGTCTCTTTTTTCAATATTTTTTAAAGAATTATTTTTTTTTCAATTTTTAAACATTATATTTATTTTTTTAGAATTTTGGAAATTGAATATGAAAATTTTGCTTTTTATTTCCATTTGATAATTCAATAGAAATTTTTGTTAGAAAATTTTTAAAATTTCAAAAAAAGGGAAATTTTTATTTAAAAGTTTTTCAAAATTTCAAAAAAAAATTGATTTTTTATTGAAATAAATTTTTTCACTTTTTTGTTCTCCATTAAAAAAAAAGTAAAAAGTATCTAATTTTGTAATTTAAAGTTTATTTTCGAATTTATTCCGTTTGATATTTTTTTCTTCTATAAAATCGAAGAGAGAAAACAACAGCCAACCCAGTCAATAGGGAGTCATGGGTAATACAAACAATTGGTTCTTAGAAGATGGGCAACCTTGTAGCGTTGCTTGTTTTCCCAAAGAAACCTTCCATAGAGAAAGCATATTCAATCATCACAGCCAGAGATGATTAAGTATGCTTCCCCAAACTGTTGGCAACTTTAATTTGCTATGACTCCCATGTACCCCGAGATCATATGGAAGTTATAACAAATCCAAGTTAAGCCAACATCGAACTCGTATTACCTGTGGCTCCACCGCTAACCTAACTAACTTTCCCCCCACTCGGCTTGAATGTGCTTTGCCCTGTTTTCGCTCAAGGGCAAAGGACATTTAGCTTTGCGTGCAAAAAATGAAATTTTCAAAATGTAAGTTTTATATCCTCATCATCGAAAATGTTTTGGTTGTTGCTTAAAGAACTTGTCAACGATAGTAATGTGCAGTTTCTCGATCAAGACGACGACGATGACCCAGATACCGAACTATATTTAACACAGCCATTTGCATGCGGCACAGCGTTTGCCGTCAGTGTCTTAGATTCGTTGATGTCAACGGTAATTTCACCTCCAATTGAATTAAATTGTGATTTTATAACTGAAACTTGATTTATGTAATTTTTGTTGTTTTCTTTTTTTTTTTTTTTTTTTTGTTGTTGTTTCTGTTTGTAGACCTATTTCAATCAAAATGCCTTGACATTAATCCGATCATTAATTACGGGAGGTGCCACACCGGAACTAGAATTGATATTAGCCGAAGGTGCCGGTCTGCGTGGAGGCTATAGTACGCCGGAAAGTTTAAGTAATCGAGATAGGTAAGTAATTTTGTATTTTTAAGAACATTTTTTCACCAGGATTTTGGTATAAAAAGCAGGCCTTGTGTTGGAAGAAAAACTTGAACAGATGAGCGACAGAAAGTTGGGTTTTCATAAAGAATAAATTTCTACTGGTCTGTACAACTTCCATATTTATAAAAAGTCCTGTGGAAGATTTTATACTCCTGGGAGACATGGGGAAGGTTTTCTATGATTTGAAGAGGTATTGAAGATATTCTGTCCTTTGAAGATACAGTCGCCAATGGATAGAAGACCATCCACAAGGCTTCCATAGTTGGAAGTCTTATTAGAGGTCTTTTATAGATAGGAAATTTTCCTCAAGTAGAAGATTTTTCTTAAATATTTTTCTTTGGAAGAAGACCTCATACAGGTGTTCTCTTTATGTAGAAGGCCTTCAAAGACCCTACCTTCTACAGCACGTCTATATGTACAACCCTTACTACAGATCATGAACATTCGACATTCTACATTTTTTTTTTTTTTTTTTTTTTTTTTTGCGGAAAACTTATCTCAGCCTTTAATTTTTTGGAACCACTTAAGGATATTATTACCTTCTATATTCATTTAATTGTTCACATTTTCAGAATGTAGAAATATTGACCGTCGGTTTCCTGTTTCAGAAGGGCATTCCTTAACGCACTTATTCGACATTCCATTTATGTTTGTTAATTCGAACCACAGGTCACTATTTAATTTTTCTAATTTTCTAACTTTTTATCGAGAAATACTGTACACTAAATATTGTCTTTAAATATGTAAGAGAGGGCATCACGGAGAAAAGCATTATTAACTAAATTCATGTTCTCTCTCTTAAAAAGCACGCTAACGTTGCTGTCTCTTATTCTCTTGTCATGGGTAAAACATCAACAAACAGACATATACGACTTTTTTATACGTTTGTTTTTATAAAATATTTTTTACCATTTTTTTATATTTTTAAAAAAAAAAATATTAAATTAATAAAATTCAACGCAGGGAAAGCAATGTCAAAATTCATTTCACTTTTACTATCTTATCCCATGACGTTCTCCATGCTCTCTTAATTCTTGGAGAATATATTTGAAAGGTTAAATATCAAGTTTATACCCTTCCCTTTGCTCTTTTACTTAACACACCGTATATTGTTAGTTATTATGATGTGATCGTTGGGCGCCATTTACTTTAGGGAAACTTTCTTTATCAAAATTGTTATTTGCTCAGGTTTTCACGTTGGGCGCCATTTACATTGAATATACCTTCTATACCGAAATACCGAAATTTTTCTCTGTACCTCCTTCTATAAATTAAAATTAAATACAATTTCATTCATTCCCAAACATTGGTCTCCTATAGAAATATATAAAAGCTCTTCTTTTTACTATTTCACATTTTCAATATATTACAGTATGTATCCACGTTGGGCGCCATTTACGTTTTGATATTTTCTATATCAAAATATTTATTTATTAAGGTTTTCACGTTATGCGCCACGTTGTTCTTTATAAAAATTGTTATTTATTATGGCGTTGGGCGTCATTTACATTAAATAACCCTCCTTTACCAAAATACTTATATTTCTTCTTTTTATACATTTTTTATATTAACATAAGATCTTCCACGATCTTACTACCACAGGTTTTCATTTTTGGAAATACAAAAAAAAAATTTTTGTCTATTTTCATTCTAAATTTTATCAAATGTTGACATTTGCAGAAAATCCTAATTTTTGACAAAAGTTTATTACCTTGCCTGCTCAATTCCATTTCCTAGTTCAAAAATGTATTTTTCAAATCTTTTTTACATTTTGTTGGGTATAATTTTATTTAAAGTTAAAAAGGTATGTCTACACTCTTCTCTTTACTCCTTCACTAAATATTCAGTGAATTTTTATTTATTACAGTATCCACGTTGGGCGCCATTTACATTGGGACACTTTCTTTATCAAAATTGTTATTTATTAGGGTCTTCACGTTGGGCCCCACTTTCATTGAAGAAGCCTTCTTTATAAATTGTTATTCATTTGGTTGCCCGCGTTGGGCGCCATTTACATTAAATAACTCTCCTTTACCAAAATTTGTACCTCCTTTTAGAAGTTAAAATTAAATATATTTCCATTCACTTCCTTGGGCGCCAATTGAGTTGGATAAAAGTCAAGTTTGTTATACATTTTATATTAACATAAGATCTTCCACGGTCTTTTTATAAATAAAAAAACTATCCACAGATCTTCATTTTGGGAAATATTATAGGAAATTATATTTTATTTTCATTCAAAGTTTTATAAAATGTTGAGATTTTCAGAATATCCCAATTTTACCAAAAGTTTATTACCTTGACTGTTCAATTCCATTTCCTATTTCATTTTATTGGCTAGAATTTCATTGAGAGTTAAAAAGGTATGTCTTTACTCCTTCACTAAATATTCAGTGAATTGACATTCATTATAGCATCCACGTTGGGCGCCATTAACGTTAAAGAAACCTTTTTTCCAAGATAATTATGTTTTTTCCCTATACCTTCAAATTTAAATTAAAATTACATATATTTCCATTTACTTCTTTCCGTTGGGCGCCAATTGATTTGAAAAAAATTAAATTAAAACTTACCATACGTCTTAATTTATGAAAATATTAAAGGAAATTGCCTTTTTAATTGTTGACATTTTCAATATTTCAATACTGAGGTTTAATAAAGTGGCTGTTCATACTTTCAGGATTCTTGGAGAATTTAATTAAGCCTCTTCTCTCTACTAAACATACAGTGAATTATTATTTATTATATTTTCCACCTCGGGCGCCACTTACATGAAGGAAACCTTCTTTATAAAAAAATACAAATTTTGTTATCCATATCATCTAATTGAATTTAATATGAAATATTTGTCTATTTACTGCCTTACGTTGGCCGCCAGCTGATTTGAAGGAAAGCCTGGATTGTATTTTGATACTGAAAATTACTTTTCTATGGACGCCACTTACATTGAAGAAATGTACTATGTCTTCACCATTCTCTATTCTAAAATTCAGATTTGTTATTAATCATGGGGTCCACGTTGGGCGCCAATTACATTGTGGTAACAAAATTTTTATTATATGATGTCCAGTTGGGCGCCACTTCCATTGAAGCAACCTTCTTTATCGAAATTGTTATTTAGCATGGTGTCCACGTTGGGCGCCAATCACATTGAGAAAATTGTTGTATTAACATTTTTATTTCCTCTAGTGTCCAGTTGGGCGCCACTCTCATTGAACAAACGATCTTTATCAACTTTGTTATTAATTATGGTGTCAACGTTGGGCGCCAGTTGCATTGAGAAATGTTAATATAAATAAATAAAATGAAATCTATATCAAATTACAAGTTTCTTCTTCTAATTGAAATCAATATGAAATATATTTTAATTCACTGTCTTACGTTGGGCGCCAATTGATTTAAAGTAAAATCAAGTTTGTAATTAATTATTATATTGGTTTCTACCTTGGGCGCCATTTACATTTACATTTACCTTCAAATTCAACTTGAAATGAAATATATTTATATTTTTTCTATTACGTTGGAAATTGGCAAGTAATTGGAAACCGCGTTTAGAGTACAATCTTTGTTTTTTTTCAATTAATTTGATGTAGAAGATTTTTAAAACATTTTGGGCGCCATAGGGGTGAAAGGCCTTACGAGATCTTCTAGTACTACAAGAACTTCCCCTTTTTATGGATAGAAGAGCTTATATGTGCCAGAGGTCATCTATGAAGAAAAGACTTTCCACAGATATTTCTTCTATAGAAGACCTTCTTCAATAAAAGACGACCCTCCTCAGGTCTACTAAATATAACAGACCTGTAGTGGGATTATCTAACTCATTGTTGAGTTACAAACAAAAGTCGGTAAAATTACAATTCTTGTAATTCCTATAATCAAATTTAGCGACCCAAACAAGGTAGTCGCTAAGTCCAACCGACATTAAGAGTGTTGCCAACTTTTATTTGGAATTTTTATTCATTAATTCGACATTTGTCGGTAACTTAAAAAATAGATAGAGAATCCCATTACTGAGATGTTCCACAGGGTTTAATTCGCATTTTTTTTTTTTTTTTTTGAATAGAAGGCTCTTCATGATTAGAAGAAAAATTTACACATGTCTATAGATGGATTATTTTGAATTCTTTTCAGATTTTTAACAAAATATCTAATTTTTATTTACAGATGCCGAGTGGGTCAAATATCATTGTACGATGGTCCATTAGCTCAGTTTGGCGAATGTGGCAAATATGGTGACCTATTTGTGGCAGCATTAAAATCCTATGGCATGCTATGCATAGGTCTGTACAGATTTCGGGATACCAGCTCCAGCTGTGATGCGAGTAGCAAACGTTATGTCATAACAAACCCACCCGATGACTTTTCACTACTGCCAACAGATCAGGTAGGTTATGGCACTTACTCAGACAAACAATATATATCTGATTACCTTTGTTATGTTCCTTTGCAGGTATTCGTTTTAATGCAGTTCGATCCGGGCCTGGAATACAAGCCACCAGCGGTACGAGCGCCTACCGGCGGCCGCAATGCCAATACCCAAGGCTCCGGGGTCGGTGGGGGCGGTTCCAATAAGGATGATAACTCTTGATTGTTACTGTGTAGCGCCTTAACTGATGGTCCTTACTCGTACATTTGAACGATGGAGATTTCCCGCATGCACAAATTGACACAATTTTGGCGCCAAGCTTTCTACACCATACTACAGAAAATTAGGCTAATACTGCGTTACATAAAGCAGAACTAAATTTTATAGCAAAGTAACTAGAAACCACAACAAAAAAAAATAGAAAAATTAACAACAACAACTGTGGATAGAAATGAAATGAAACTAAGCCAAAGCCTGGGTCAAAAATGTGTCTGTTTGTGCATTTTTATATACATTTAAACATGTTCGGTCCCAAACCACTAACACTTTTCACCGGGGATCCCAACAATAATGGCAGAAATGTCTGTAAGCCTGAGGTTTACATGACATTTCTGACCTGGCAAAATATCAGTCCAACATGTTTAAATGAATATAAATCCAAAAGAAAAACAAATCTCTTTCAAAAAACACCAACAACCAACGTTCAATTGTTAAAATTATTGCTTCCCACACCATTCCGTTAGCCCTATTTAGAACCTTGACTAACTAACATGACATTTTTTCTGTATACAACAACACACATATACATGCAAACATTGTACTTACAGTACCAGTAACATTTTCACAATTCTCGAAATCCAAAATCCCCTAACCCTACCCTACCTTCTTCCTGACCTAGACCCATAGACATTTTAATTTAATTTCCTAGAAAAAAAAAAAACGTTTTAATGTAGTTAAGTTTTGTTGAATTCAAAATACTCTGATTTTTATTGAAAACCTTTTTTTGATTTTTGTTGAAGGCTAAAAGCCCTATTTAGTCATATATTTAGTTATTAAGGATCCTGGATCCATTTAGTGTCAAGAATTTTTTGTTTTTCCCTTTTCAAATATTTTAATTTTTTAAATTTAAGAATCAAACTGTATAGCTATATAAAGACATTATGTTTGGTATGCTTGTTTCGATTTTATTTATTTTTTGGAATTGTTGAAATATTGTTTCTATTTTAGTTTATAAATAAAATTATTATTTAATTTCATTTTGGTTTTATTTTTCATTTATTTTTGTCAGTCTCATGATATTTCAACACATGGCGTTTAGGGTGTCGCAGAATTTCAGTGTTTTATTTTTCATAGCCATCACAAGAAAATGTTTGTTGTGACTCACATTGGGCGCCAATATATTTCGAATAATTAATAACCAGTTTCTTTTTGTCAATCACATGATATTTCATCATATAACGTTTAGGGTGGTGCAGAATTTCAGTGTTGTAACTTATCATGACCAATTTAAGAGATTTTTGTAAGACTCACATTGGGCGCCAAAATATTTCGAATAATGAATAATATGTTAAAATTACTTAAATACAAGGTACCGACCACTTAAGCACAACAATTTGCATTTATTGCCATATCTAAGCTAAATAACGCACAACCCCACTTTGGGCGCCACTTTTGTGGGATTCGAATAAAATAGCTCAAACCTTTTCAAAAACTTTTCAAATGTAGAAAAAAATTTTAAGCCCTTAACATCCTTTTATTGTTTCTTTTGTAATATGAGCTCAATGAACGTAACAACGTTGGGCGCCACTTATGTTTGCTCAAATTCATTACCGATGTAAGACGACGTTTTTGTCCATTGTTGCCCCATTGTTAAGTCACTTGTAATGACTATTTTAAGACCCATATAATAATGTATTACCTCAGTGAATATTGTGATTTCGATGATTGCTTTAGTCTGGAGAATTTTGATTGCAATTCGAAAACTTTCTTTTAGAAAATATATGTCGCAACATCTTTTTATTGATCTTCACTATATCAATCGCTAATTTGAATTATCTCAATCTTTTTCAAAATATTAAAGGAAATTATCTTCTGCACTCATTTCAAATTTTCTACAAACGAAATTTTCAGAATACCCCTATACTGATATTGTGACAAAGACATAAGAGTATAAAGATACGACAAGTCGGAGTTAAAATGTCGGCAAATCGCATTTTTTTATAATGCATTTTGTCCAGTCTTTACCATTTTATGTCTTTGATGATGGTGTCTTAAAGGCATTCTTCAAATATTTTTATTCGGCATTGTCTTTATTTTGGAATACTCGACCCATTTTATTTGCTATGAAAAGCTATCCTCTCGCCTTGCTCTTTAAAAGAAATCAGTCAGAGTATTGCTGAGAAAATAATAACGTTTAATGTCCTCTCTCTCTCTCTCTCTTATTTTATAATATGTTCTCCAAGTCTCTTATTTGAAAATCTGGGAGAGTTTCATTGAGAGTTAAAAAATATGTTCAAATGTTCAGAAGGCACAAATACTGACCATAAGTTTAATATCATGGTTGTTCATTTCTACTTTCTTTTCAGAAAGGCATTCTTCATATTTTTTATTCGGCATTGTCTTTATTTTGGTTGGCTCGACCCTTTTTCATTTTTCGGCTATGTTTTCTATCTGCTATGAAAAGCTATCCACTCGCCTTGCTCTTTAAAATAAATCAGTGAGAGTATTGCTGAGAAAATAATAACGTTTAATGTCCTCTTTCTCTTGAATGTAAAAACTCTTTTATAATATGTTCTCCATACTCTCTCTTAATTCAGATTCTGGGAGAGTTTCATTGAGAGTTAAAAAATTATGTTGAGAGTTAAAATGTTATGTCAATTCTACTTCCATTTTAGAAAGGCATTCTTCAAATGTTTTTTATTAGGCATTGTCTTGATTTTGGTTGACTCGACCCATTTTTCATTTTTTGGCTATGTTTTTTTATATCTGCTATGAAAAGCTATCCACTCACCTTGCTCTTTGTAAGAAATCAGTGAGAGTATTGCTGAGAAAATAATTACGTTAAATTTCCTCTATCTCTCTCTTTCTCTCTCTATTGAAAAAAACTGTTTTATAATATCAGGGGTGCTCAAAACCGTGTTCTAGAACATGAAGAGAAAAAGAGATAATTTAAGAGAAAATTAAAATTCTGTTTTTCTTTATATTTTACTGTTCTATTTAATTGTTTTTAAACACGAATGTTTGCCAAAATAGTTTATAAAGCAAATGGATAAAAAATATTTGTATAAATAATGACTTAACACTGTTTTGTTCTTGATTTAAATAAGCAAAGTGAAATTTGACTGAAAACAGATATTTCTTCTTGAGCACCCCTGTAATATGTTCTCCATACTCTCTGAATTCAAATTCTGGGAGAGTTTAATTGAGAGTTAAAATATTATGTCTATATTGTTCTCTTTACTGTTTATTACAATTTCCACGTTGGGCGCCACTTAGATTGACGATACTTATGCTACTTCTTTATAACTTCAAATTTAATTGAAATGTAACATATTTCCAATTTACATCCAAATTGTTTTGAAGAAAAGCCACATATGAAAAAAGTTTATATTGAAAGCAGCTCATTGTACTGCGTTGGACGCCACTTAATTTGATGAAAAAAATTGTATTTTCTTCATATTGAAAACTACCCTAACTGGACTCCATGAACAGTTAGGGTAAAGTGAATTTGTTTTGTCACTAACGTTGGTGGTAAGGAATATAAACCCATTATGGGGGTCTCGTTGGGCGCCACTTTCATTCAAGAAACCAGTTTTTAATACCTTCTAAATTAAATCAAAATAAAATATAATTTCCATTTTCTCCTTCACATTGGGCGCCAACTGATTAAAAAAAGTAAAAAAGCAGCTAAGTTCGACCGATCGAACTTTTAATACCGTTATACCTTTCATTCAAGTGGCGTTGGGCGCCACTTTCATTCAGCTGGTGAATTAGATCACTAAAATCAACCAAATACCGAATATCGGGAGGTACCTTTATATGGGGGTTATACGAAGACGTGAACCTGATAACGAAATTTTTGGGCATTGACTGTAGTACCCACTACAAACTTCGAATACGAAATTTGAAACAATTCGGGTGAATAATGTCGTTAAAATCATCAAAATACCGAATATCGGGAGGTACCCTTATATGCGGTCTATATGAAAACATGGTCTGACATGTCCCATTTACGAACTTAACTTTCCTACTGGCAAAATACACATGTATGCAAAATTTTAGCCTTCTATTTCAATTCGTTCGAAAAATTATAACAGACAGGCGGATATCGCTATCGAATTTTACGCTGATCGGGAATATATATACTTTCTAGGAGTAACAAGCGGAACGATAAAGGGTATAAAAATTTTCTTAATATTTTGGATATTGATAGCTCCTTTTTATATTAAAATTTCCGCTTTGGGCGCCACTTACATTGAATTAGCCTTCTTTTTCAAAATATTTATGTTTTCTTTCTCTAAAAGTTCTAACTAAAATTAAAATGAAATATATTTCCATAAACAATCTTACGTTGGGCGCCACTTTCATTGAAGGAACCTTTTTGTCAAAACAATTTTGTTACTTCTCTATGCCTTCTAAATTAAATGTAAATTAAATACATTTCCATATGTTGCTTTACGTTGGGCGCCAATTTACCTGAAGTAAAGCCAACTTTCTTTTACATGTTTGGTATTGAAAACTGCTTCTGTTATTAGGTCTCCACGTTGGGCGCCACATACATTGAAGGTACATTGTTTCTCAAAATATTTATGGTCCATCTCCTTACCGTTCATTTACTGGTTTACGTTGGGCGCCATGCGTGACTAACCATCGTTTTTTTTCCTTTAAATTGAGCAAAAATTGTATTCTCAATGAGTAAAACATCATTTTCACTGTGTTACGAACGTCACTCATCTGTCATTCGAAATTGTAAACAATTCAAATTCATCTGTAAACTGGCCAGCTACACATCAGTGTCCAATTCCTCTGCGTTGTTCCAATGTGGTGATATCAAAATAAATGAATTCTTTAAAATTCTGACAAAAACCATTAATTTATTTTATTTGTTATTTCTGTTTTTTTTTTTTTATTTAATTTTTCCCTTTTTTTGCACCAGTGTGGACCCCTCGAGAAGGTAGGTGCTGAATATTTATATGAGTTTAATTTTTATTTTATTGGATTTTCTTTTTTAATACTTCTTTTTGAAAAATTATTCTAAATGTTGTGTTAAAAATCATGGAACTAAATACAACTATACGATGAAAAATGACTTCCTTTTTTTAAAAAATAACAACAACAACCAAAAAAAAAGATGGTGTGACATAAGCAATTGGGAACCATTAGTGAGGTAAGCTACACAATAAACAAAGCTTAAAACAAAACAAAAAAACAAATTATTAAATATAAAAAAGTAAAGCGAAATGTGAATGAATAAAAAGCTAAGATGATGTTCGCAATTTCAAACTCCCCCAATGTGAGGGGTTTAGAAAAAAATTATCTTCTTGTAACTAATTTAAGACGAACACGACGAATACGAATACCAAACCAAAACTCAAGCAAACAAACAACTTAACATAACAAAATGAAGCATTTATTAAAACCAAATACCAAAACAACTTCTAACGTCAAAAAATGGCAAGGACAAGAAACAAAGACTAGCTTTTTCTAAAAACAAATACCAAAAATAAATAAAATCCAAAAACAAACCCAAAAATGGAAACATAACCAAAACAAACCAAACCAAACTATCTAATTTACATGCATACAAATATAAAGCATAACTTTGTAAGCCTCTAACATTTAACACAACAACAACAACAAATAGCTTCTCTCTAAAATGAAGAAAAACGAAAAACTAAGCCAGCTTTTTTTAAACAAAATATATATATGTAAACCAGAGCCATTCAATAGCTAGTAGAATGAATACAGTGTCCAGACGAATGAAGGATAAAAGGAAAAATTCTAAGAATGTTTCAAAAGAAATAAAAAGGAAAGCAGAAAAAAATAAAACTGAGCATCAAAATCAGCTTTACTGAACTTAAAATGATTAACATAAATTCTAAAATTTTTGCATTAATGCATGTGAAACCTTTTTTTTCTAATTGATTTATTTATTTACATACTCGTACAATTCTTAACAAACCAAAAAAAAAAGGAAAAAAACCAAGCTCTTGCAGACAAGAAAAAACGCTAAAACACAAAAGAGAAAAACG